AATATATAACATTTATGATATCACGAGCAAATTTCTATCTATAACATAATAACAAATTAAAATAAACAAACAATGTCTTACAATAATATCTTTCGGATTGAAATTGCACCCGGCTATCAATATGAGTCACATTCTTGATTTTTACTCGTCTGCTCGACGGAATAACAAGATCTATTTTTGAAAAGTATACCAATCGAGCGTTCGTTTCACGCGTACTACTCGTGGCAAACAGCTCCTTTGTGTTTAACGCCGCTGCGTACATTGCTGCATGCATTCTTTGTTGTAGCTCTGCCACCGTAGTGTCAATCCTTTTCCATTTTCTTATTTATCTGAATGATTAATTTAATTAAACTATAAAAACCAGAAATTTTCATGAATTAAATTGTTTGAACGGTATATTATTTGTTAAAATGTAATAAAATTCTAAAAATTTATTTAATGTTAAGTTTACTTCATAGAAAATTAATTTAAAACTGCTTCAGTATTAAATAATAGAATAATTTTATTTAATCAAAATATCATGCTCAAATAGAAATGCTCATGAAACTTACAGATGTAAAGAAACTATCATATAAAATATTTTCTAAAGAATGATATTAGAAACTTTTTACAGCATTGTTATTTGAAATTCCATTTCGGATTTCCATGGCATTTTTATAGTCTTTAAAACTTACCGTAAACTTTACGAGCATTTTATAGTTTACGTATTATAATTCTTCACTGTTTTTAATTCGTGCAAACAAATCAGTTTAGCTTATTATTCACGTCGTGTTTAAAATCTCCCGCAGTTATCTAAGCGCGTAAATTCTTTATCAAAGGGTTTACTTTATCACAGATATTTTTCATTAAAGTAGGTCAAGTAATATAAGAGCTCCCAAGGCTATATCTACCCACCCATCGCTAATAGAAAGCGTTCCAAAGGTGATGAGGAAGAAGCAAAGTCCGTAATGCTTGCACTATATATCACGAAATGTATCAATTTACAGAAGAAAATACACATGATACATTCTTGCGAATAAGTAATTAGAAAAGCAATATCGCACGTATTGTGGAAAGCCCCAATAATTTTTTTAATTGTCGATTGTTTGAACGTTCTTAGCAGAAATAGTTAAATAATTACCGTCACTAGATATTGTTTTCGTAATACTAGCCACACGTTTAGATTAGTTGATGAGAAATGACCATGATATTTATTCGCAAAACAAACCTTGAAATAGTTAGCGATAAATGCTATGACGTAAACGCATCATACGGATAAAAAAATATAATTAATTACTAACGTTTTAATCATTATGTAAAGTATTCCAATATACATGACAATGTTATTGTGTAATCTTTTTCATCAAGTTGATATCGGTTTTTTCTTGACAAAAATATCGAAAATGAAATAATCTTGCAATTATAATTTACAAAAAATAAAGAGTACTTAGCTTCTAATGCTGCTGTAGCAGTACTAAAATATAACAAATATAATTGTCCGTTTAATTTCAAGTAAACTTTTATTCATAATTGTAATTTTAACAAAATGTTAATTAAGATCTAGTTACCGATATATCAGTTGCAAATAGAAATAATGTCTAATCAGATTGTCATTAAGTATCTATAAATTTATTGCAAATATTGGAACGACACATTATTGATAACATCGGAACGAGTTTATGAACTACATAGTCAGTTATTATTCATGCATCAGCAAATATATCGATACCTTGCACCTTCGCCATAATTAACGCAAGTTGCATAACGTAATGCATAATAATATGCTTCCTGTAATTTTACGACGAAAGATACAAATCTCTCTATATTTTTACAACGCGAGTGAAATGAATAACCAACAATCACCGGTTGAAATTGTAGCACAAATGTTTTTATGTTTTCGTCACGAATGAATAAATTTGTAGCATATTATTAAATATTACTGCGCAAGAAATCCGAGAAAAATTAATTAATTGTTAAAAAAAATTATAAGAATTTTTATATGTGTGAGCTTTTCTTAATTGAAAGAACTTTTAGCTTACAAGTTTGAGCGTGGATATTCTGCGCGTTTATCTAAATCATGATAGTTCCAACGTCGTTTCCGTGATAAATCTGATAAATCATTTTGCGTCAATTTAAGAAAATATGATAACGCGAGCTTTAGAAAAGTCAACAGAGTGATTATCATCGAGAAACAGAGTCCAAACCTGTCTTATGAGTAATGCACGTATCTATTCCAGTATCATCACTTGTTTACAGATAGATCACGTGATTACGGGCTGTATAAATGATTTCACAGATGAAACTGGTAAACACTTGGTAATTAATGCAGAATAACTTCCATTGAGGCATTTAAAACGATACAGAGATCCGAAGCTAAGAGTGCATTTTCTTTACTAGCTAAATGAGAAAATTAATCTTAACTAACAAAATTACTGTACTTAATTATTGCAATATACCGGGTAATCCATATATTATTTAGATACAAACTACAAAAATAGATAAAAAAATCTTTTTTAAATGAAATTATCAATTTAGATCTGCTTTCAAAATGCGTTCTTTAAAAGCATTGAGCTTAAGTTTATCGGAAAGAGCTGCCGAGACCTTTCAATGACCGTGACAGTTAATGAACTTGCATATCTTTTTAATTTGCATTTGATAACATTAATTAATTGCATTTTATCTCGACAGAAAGTCTCTTCTAATCTCTTTGAGAAAAATGGTGAATAATATTTCACCTAATTATCCTCTTATTTATTACTTATACCGCAATACTGATGTATCGTGTTGTAAGCAATAAAAAATTTTATTTTTATATAACAAGAAAAGAAATAAAAATTGAAAACATCTATGTGTCATCAAAAATTCTTGTGTGCGATTCATCTTATATAAATGGTCGAGGAAGAATTGTCTGTGGGTCTTGCCAAGTGACACATACATCTTCGAAGTGTTTACATCAGATTGCAAATGGAATTTTTGCGTAAGAAAAATCGAGGAGTAATATAAGCGTAAGATAGAAAGAGAAGAGATCATTTCGTTTTCCTCAAGCAATGTCAATTCTACATTACGAAACGTAATCGTGCTAAACCCATGTACTGTATAAGTTAAAAAACTAAAACGATTAAGATACAATAAACTTCGAATATAATTATTTCATTTAATTGATCTTTACATGCTATTTTTGGATTCTGAAATGTAAATATTTTTTAATTTCAAGATACGACTGAATAACTGAAGATTATATAGACTCTTACGTGTGTACTTTCGCTACTAAAATAGTATAATAATTATTTATTTGAATCGTAGAATTGAAAAAATATATAATTGTTTTATTTATCTCTAACATTTATTGTGTGTGGTTTAGAAATATAGTTCCTGATACTTTTTAATTATTCAAACTTTCAACGTATGTACGAGAATCCAGGAAGATAATAAAGTCATTAAAGTCTCAAATCCTTTGTTTATTATTTCTGTTTAGGACCAACTTTATAAAGCTAAAATGAAACTTTTGATGTGATCTATTAATTTCTAGCTTGAAACAAATAGAGCAGTGCAATATTATTTGCACTAATATGGGCTCACCGCTAATCTAAATCATATATGCAAAAGCACTTCTATTGAAGTTTTAATTGTTTATCTTAAATTAAAGCGATAAGATGTCTAAATCAATATTTTCGATATTCGAGTGATATATCGCGAGATATCATTTTCTTATTGCTCCATTTTGCAAAGTAACTCAACAACTGTGTTTTGACTTCTGAGATATATCTTTATAGATATATCGATCATTACCAAAATTTTTTTATCGCGATATTAAATATCTGTGAAGCTAATTTGTAATTTATATTTATATCACAAATTTTAGCAAGTGATAATATTAAGTGTGTAGACACGCCTCCACCAAAACTGATTATGATAAACATATTCTCTGTTCAAGTTATATTAAGGTCAAGTAAATTAAATGTGATTCGATCATCCCACACGAGATTTATTCAACGAGCAATGCAAAATATCTCAATTAATTAAATTATTACTATAACATAATCTCGATTTTCTGAATAAGAATTTTAAACGACAAATATATAAGTCAGAAGATTTTTTTGTATAAAAATAATACTTGAAGTTCCGTTTGTTTTAAAACTGTAAAACGTGCTGGTTATATATCGCTTAATAGCGTAATCATGCACGAACGTGCTAACCTCGATTCATATTTATTTGAACAACATGTTGAATCATGCACTTCCAGAATATCAGACAAATCGTCTAACATTATATTATGTGTAAAACGATGACAATTCGACGGTGTAATAACCTACTAAAGATTGGATAAGAATGAAGTCAACATCCGCGTAAATCATGCGAGCAACCGATATGTCGAAAATAGCTCACATCGTGCTTCTTCTGAAGCTTAAATATTCAACAAAGATAGAACTTTGCTGATTGCAATTAACATCCTTGACAGCAGAGAAAATAAATGTTATCTGCTATATGCAATGCAGGGGATTTAAAAAAATTGCAGATAACCCATAGATAAATGAACAAATTATCATGTCCGCTGATAGAAACTATACATAGATACACGCGTCATCCAACTGTAATAATAATATATTAAAGCAGCGAAAGAAATGTTTTATTTATTTTTAAACCAAACGAGAAACAACCAAGACATAATATTCGAACCAACGAGATGCATAAAATGTGGCAGTCGATCAAATATCAGAGGAAAAATTGACTTCAAATTAGTCTTGTTGTACGTAATGGCATCATTTCCAGTATAAAAGTCCATCTGATCATCTCGTCATTATCGAACATAAAATGCTTTGCGTCGCACACGCGATCTCCAGCAGCTGTGCTTTGCGTATACCCCGAGGTGCGTAAGACGGGAAAAACAGACGTTGCACGTGGTCGGCGAGTGACCGCGTGTCTTCCGCCCTTCTCCCCCCCGTTCACTTTTCCTACCATCTTGTCGCAAATGCGTTGGTCTGCATACGGGGGGGATACGGGTATAAAAGCGAACGCTCACCAATAGAACGGGTTAGTGCCTCTCACGCAGCGTGAGAACGTATCAAGGATTCGTTCTTCCTTGTTCTCCATTGTTGCAAGTGCTTTTGCAATATTAAGATTTAATCGTTCGAAACAGTGTTTCATAAAACGATTGTAGATCTCACGGAGTGTCGAGATCTTTGAGTGAAAAAAAAAAAACATTATATTTTGTTATGCCGGCGGTGGAATTCGAATCGATGGCCCCTATCGCTCACAGGTAGGCGATTATAAGATTTTTATGTTAACTTTAATCGTTAATTTCTTTTAGTGCAAAAAGAATATTGTGCATTGATTTTTCGAGGATAATAGCACACAATGCGCATTAATCAAATCGAATTTCTTAGTCGCAGAAGAATCTAAATTATTTCTAAAAATAATTGAGAAGATATTTTTAAACTCTTCAGACATTTCTTAAGAGATTTTTACTATGACAAGATTTAATAAAATGACAATTACATTTAATATATTGCAAGAAGTAAAATTATTTGCAAATTAAAAGCAACACAGATTTCTAAAATATATTTAACTTATATTTAGCTCCACAATATTTGTGGCAGTTTAAAGCTTGCAGAACGTGCTACATATACAATATGTTTAGTCAGGCGATATATCATGCAGTACGTTAACGTAAAAAAAAACTTTTTGTGTTATTTTTATATTACTTTTTTATATTACTTTTTTTTGTAAAAAGTTTTTATGTTATCGACACTTGACGTGTCTCCCGTGTCTTTTATTTAAATTCAGTTTAATAAAACTACTACACGATTATATGTCACGCGTTTCCTATACTCGTTACACAACATATTTATAAGTACTTCACGCGCTAAAACGTGCTTCCAAGTATCCGCTTGGGAACGATTCGAACAGCTGATCCACAGGTCCGACAGGTTTCCTCATGCCAGGCACGTTGACATTAATGACACACTTCCGCCAGTTTTAGTATCAGCATATCAGACTGGGATTTCAGAAAAAAAGAAAAATATGTCACTGTTAATTGAATGCTAATTGTACTTTCTTTCCACTGACGATAGTCATCTATAACAATTCTCTTTATCTCGCTGCTGAAAGGAAATTACTTCGACCGGAAAATGTCATATTATTAATGCCTTCCGCATGTACTTGCTTCTTGTTAAGCCGTCTATTAGAGTTGAATGTAACTAGAGCAGATCTCTGTTATCCAGCATGTTTCACATATAAAATGTTTATTAATTGCGTAAAATAGATTTTTTTGTTGCTTATTATACGCAATTATAATTTCCGCGGTGAAGGACATTTAATACATCTACGAACACTACTTCAATATTTTTTAAATTATAACATAATAATAAATAAAATATATATAATGTAATTTATTAGTAAAAACCCATACAGAGTTTCATATATGAAGTTTAATAATGGCTATAAATAAATAAAATCTAAAATACAGTAAAACAGTTTACCTCAAGCCCCCTTAAGCTTTATAAATATATGCACGTGGCCTACGTCACGCTTCTTTAAAATATAAATACACTACTTTCTCTGAACTATTATATTGATCGACAATACTGCCTTTCCGCTTTAAGAATAATTCATTTTGTTAATTGTTATTTGCAACAATAAATATTTTATAATCTTTCTACAACGCGAAATAAATGTATTAATAAATTGTGTCGATGAGTTACATTGTGTGTTATATATTAGAAAATCATATTGTAATCTTACACCGTACGCAACATACTCACTATATGAAAGAGATTCAAACATTATTCAACTTGAGACACAATAGAGATATTATAAGAAATGCATTAAAGAATTGATAAGACATTCTAATGATCCGATACTTCAAATTAATTAAATTTAATAGAAGAAAAACTTCCTTATCAATTTATTAATGTTTAAAGAAATCTGTGATTTATATCTACAGTTTTTCTTTAAATAAGATGTATGGAGACTCATCACTTTTGCATCAAATGTACATAATACCGAATAACAATAAATAATACAAAAGATATAACTGAAGATGACTTATAAAATAATAAAAAGATATGAGAAATAGAATATGAGAAATAGATCCTCCCAAAGCTTCATGTTGCCGATTTTGTGTTACAGGGAGAAGATGAATAAATTGTGCCGTCAACTCTCGATCGAGAGCCCAAGTGTGACCGGGCGGGATTGCGTCTTCAGCTTCGACGTGCCCGTGCCGGATGTGCCGGCGCACGGCGCCCGCATCCGGGTAATGTGCGCCGGTGCATGCTATCATCCCCGACGGTCGCCGAGTCTGACCAGCTTGACCTCGGTCTCGAGTGGCGGCAGCCTGGCCGCCGACATGTCCGTGGAGACCGAATACCCCACGGTGTCTCTGCCGCATCACGGGATGCGCGACGCCGCTCTGTTTCCCGGTTACGAGGTGGCTGGCGTGATCGAGTCGTTCGGCACCGAGGTGCCCGAAGACCGCGAGCTCGCCGTGGGCGACCGCGTTATACTTTACCCTTACGACGGCATTCCTAATGGCTACGTCGAATATCTGGTGGTGCACGATCTCAAGTACCTGATCAAGCTCCCCGACAATATGTCGTTCAGCGTGGGAGCTATGCTACCAGCCGGCGCGCTTCTCGCCATGAACACCGTCTTTGCCGCGCACGAGCATGTGCAGGTATATGATTAGTGGACAGTCTTTCATATTACATCTCACTTTTGTCAAATAAAATTAATAAATACGCCATAAAGAGGATACATTTAACAAATAAATGTAACGAAACGTAATATTTTAGAAACAAGCGATGCTTCTCTTTAAAGCTTTCTTCAAAGTATGATAAAATATTGCAGGCATTACTGAAGGAGAGAGGCGAAAACAGCGTATGCAAGATTCTGGTAGTTGGCACAGGTGGTCTTGCTTTGTGGGCCCTCAGAATCGCATCGTATCACTTCAGTAACATGAGGGACAAAGTCACTACTACGATAGCCACTCTCAAGGACGACGGTCTTCTCATAGCTCAGGAAGTCCAACGGTAAGTTTTTTTATTCAATTAATTTCTAGATGTAATAAAATAGAATTAGTTACTGGTTAATATTAATAAACATGGTATTGACATATCGTAGTCACAAATGGACTTGAATGGGCTCACGAAAAGTACGAGCAAATTCTTGTATTACCTACATCGGGAACATGTAAAATGTTTACATAAAAATTATTGGCTCTTTTTTCCTCCTTCTCACTTTAAGAAAAGTGTAAAAAGAACAAAAAGATCAACGAAAAACGTTTTCAAATTTAAATGCTCGTATTTAGACTTGATGCCTTAAAAGTTCGTTTGCCATCTCGTTTGATTTATTCAGCAATAGTCGGCACATTACTTACAGGGTGAATGTAGTGCAGTGGAACGAAGATCTCTACGAGAAGCAGCTGATTGAACGCACAATGGATGCCTGCGGTGGCCAGGTGGACGTGGTAATCGATTTCGGTACGACTTCACGCAACCTCCATCGTAGCATGCAGTGCCTAAGTAAGGGCGGCGTGGTGTTCGTGATCAAAGAGGTCGCCGATCGGCTGCTGCCCAAGTTCAGCCGACGCGCGGAAGAGCGGGAGCAATCCATCAAACCGGTAGAACCGGGCACGCTGGAGCAACTGCGAGAGTTGGTGCAACTAGTCGCCTCCGGTGACATCGAACCGCCCCCGCACACCGTATATCCCGCCGAGGAGGCTCTGGACGTCGTCCAAAAGCTTTGCCACTCGGAGATACAAGGCCGCGCAATTCTTCGCTTCTACCCCGCGGACTAGAAGATTTTCCACTGAGAGATTTCTCCGCGATCGCGGATCAGGCGACAGATTCGACGACGACAACCGAAAGAGTCAGGACCCGGCCCGGGTGATGAGAATTGTACGGTTTACCATGCGGTGTGTGTTTCGAAGTTTCGATAATGAAGTTGAGAGGAGGACTATCGAATCCCGAAGTAGTTGTTGCTTCAGACTGAGGGCCGGAGTTTAGATAAGGTGTTGACGTGCGTACGTCCTATAGGGGCGATAATTTGCGAATGAGGGGACTTGACGAATGCAGGGATGGTCTTCGTAGAGTGAAGCGATACTTTAACTCGAGGAGATCTAACCGACCGAAGATCTCATAAGACACAAAAATTGACGATACACTTTATTACGAATGATAAGAGAGTTGATGAAAGAACGACGTCCTGATTTATGACTGATTGAAACATTTAACTACTAAAACTTGACAAAATATTGTAACGGCAACAATACGAAATACTGCGCGAATGTAATTTGACTTTATTGGGTTGATTAATCAGTCTCTTTAATGCTGAGAAACGTGTCATCTGTGAAGGAAAATTTTCGTATAATTTATATAATAATTTTCATATGATAAACAAAATTTTTCTTGCAAATAATTTCTTTTTGAAAATTTGCTGATGAAACAAAACATCAGTTTTCGTGTATCATTTGATGGATTATATCACTTTGAGTATCTTTTAGACGAGCAATTAACTCTCGTAAGTGGATAATCATATACGTGAGACAAATTGAGAGCAGGTGAGATAACAGCTTAGATAACACAAAAAAAATGACATAAAAGTGGCCATGCCAGAAAAAAAAGGTGCGTTATCATCGAAGAAGTGACGCTCTCTACTTCCTTTTCATGGATGTCTAATATTTGTTGTTTCTTGGCGCAAAATTAAGTCCAGGATAACATTACGATTTACGCGTACTTATGCCGAGCGCACTAAAGGAGTTATGAGTGGTTAATGTACGGCGGTTAATGGTATTCTGCTTTCTTATTTAAGAATCCTTGAATGGAAACATACTGAACGATGAACATGGAGACACAAAGCAATACAATTGCGCGTTCCTTCGATACGCGTGAAGCTTTGGCGCTGACATATAAAAATGCGCACGATAATAAGGTAATTTCGACTTCCGTCAATGTGTGTTGATACTTTTACTAAGAATTAATGGATATCGGCAACCAAAAAATAGTCATATTGACTGTACTATTTTTAATATTTATAATTAACGAGTAAAACAGGAAAAGTAGACTATAAGGATCAAACGCAAATATTTGTGCGTGAATTTACGTTATGTGATATTCAATTATGCACAAATAGCCGCGTTTGACTCTCAGCCCACTTTCCCTGTTTACTCGTTAACTTTTATATTGAGTCTTTAGCTAATTAATCATTTATTTTAATATTTATATTGTACACTGTTGGAAAATTTTTGTACTTTTGTGAAAAAATTTGCTGGTTAAATTATACGATCAAAATTACATTTCTTTTCTGTTAAAGTATTAATATAGTATCGGTGTTACCGTTCAACACATATTACCATTTGTGTTAAATTAACACAAAAATTTGAGTAGACCGTTTGGGACATGTGATTTATGTTATATTTAACACAAATTTTCCAACTGTGTAGCTAATAATACGAGTACTTAAAATCATTGGTACCTAGAAACAGTGATAAGAGGTACGAAATAATCTTCAAATAATCTTACAATAACCATACTACTTCAATTACAGCTAGTAATGACTATTTAAAGTTGCTGATATTTGTAGAAATGCCAACAGCACGAAAAGAATTAAAGTTAATATTTTTGCTGGAAACAGATGAAGGAATGTCGAAGGTTTTTCTAAACTACTTTATTGATATCGCTGTTACGTGTTTGAACAGAACGTTTGGAAAGAATTAAGTCTGCATTCAAATATTTGAAATGCAATTTCAAACTTCTTTGTTTAATTACATCAATGTGTAAAATATTGTTAAACGGCCGTGTTGAATGTACATAGACATGACGAGAATATAGACCGGTTTGTTACGATAAATTCGATATGAACAGAAGATTTTAGGATCTGGACATGTATATTCGCACTAATTGCGTGATGAAATCAATTGCTAGAGACTTTATTGAGCACACGTTTATTTTAAACGTATTCTTTACGGTGTTAGCGGCACATACTGCTATTTATTTTAATTATCGAGAAATTTTGCTCGCGGTACAATAGATGATGACAAATTGATGTCTCTTGTAATTATCTGAAATATATAGAGTTATTAATGGGTGTAATTGTTACGAACGTTCCTTGATAATTAAAGGACGCTGACGAAGATACCGCTGACCCAATATAAAAGATACTGCAGAACTCAAGACAAGTCCGATATTTACGAGCACACTTCAATGCATACTGCAATGAGATATTGCACCGCAGGATCAAACGTGTATATTTAATGTCAATTCAGGAATAATAACCGACCGGATGCGCTTGTACGATCGCCTAGAATAAGTTTCCCGTTAAGATAAGGATGTCGAACTGTAGTAAATATCTGTCCTACCATAAGGTGTACGTGAGACGTTGTCGTTATAGCGAGGTAATCCCAAAGCGATGTAAAACTCGATGAATAAAGTGTCTGCAGAGCTAGGAATGTGATGAAAATTGCTTCTTTGCAAGGCGAATATGGAAAGAAAATAATTGTTTCGTTAATGGGCCCGGGCTCTATTTTGTATATAATTTAAAAATGATTAACGAACACAGCTTTTTAGGCATTTTATTGTGAAAGAGTGGAATATCGTATCTGCAAAAATATTTTAGTTAATATATCGACATATTTAACTGTGCTCAAGTTTCTTAATATGTTTTCCAGATCAAAGACAAGTAATGAGCTAAACTTAAATGCATCAACGCTAATGGTACGCTTGATGATATTTTCCTAATTAAATTTCCTCTCGAGGTCTAAGATGTTTATCTTGCTATATCGTTAGCACTTTATGGCACTGGGCAAATATTCGCGTAAGGACTACGTTACTTCGTTAAGATTCTATCCAATATATATATTGAGATTGTATTTAAAACACGTAAAGATACACGTGAATTGCGAAAGAGGAACGAGCGATCGTGTTAGATGAGTTTTACGCTGACGGTTTTGCCGTCATATCTGCCGACGGTTTCGCGAACCTGAAAGCGCGAGATCGCGGATCCGAATCTTATCGTTAACCGGCACAATTTAAGAGCATAATACTTTATTGAGCGTGTACACCCGTGTCCGAGATATCTCGTTGATCGTCGTTTATCGTTAGATCAGTATTCATTTTTTTTTGCTTAGCATAAGTTAATGTAAGTCCATTCGCGTAAACTTGCGTCGTAACGATGCTCGCGTCAGTCGCAAGTCGCTGTCCTCAGAAAGACTGTTCTGTTTATTTTAAACGGTATATACCGGTATACCTTCTTTTATTATTTTTTATCGTATATGTACATTTTAGGCAATAGCTTATAGGGCCGTGGTACATGCACCATGTAACATTGCTGTACCTACTGTCGATTGTAACAGTAAACGCATTATTATATTACGGTGATAATATAGCCAAAATGTCTTATTTTTCCTTTTTTAAATAACATCTGTGTTTCATTTTTCTCAATCTTTCCCTATGTCCTATAATTTATAATATATCAAATATTTCGAATTTCTGGTATATGTTTGTTTAAACTATCAAATTTTATAAATATATGTATAATAAAAATGATTATTAAGAAAGAAATCAACTGGCATCCGGCGCGCTGTTTTGTATCAATAAACGAGAATCCTAATGCTGAGCCATGTAATCAGATACTAGTTTTAAACTAGCTTGCTAAATTTATTCTAGAACAATAATGAAATGGCACGACAATTATATGTATATTATTTTTTGAGTAATAAGTATTATTTACTTCAAATAAATTATTATTAAAGCAATTTAATAAATTTCTAACTGGAATTAAAATAACGGTCGGTCATAATTAAGAATTGATCAGTGTTCTTTTCGTAATATTTTTATTAATATCTTTACCGTAAGTATTCATATTTGAAATAATATATAATTTTCGAAAAATTCAACACTATATACAAATATACATTAAAAATTGCACGTTAAAAGTTGATTGTAGTTAAAATATGATTAATGTGTACAAATAAAAAGATTATCACAAATATATGTATACTTATTTGATAGGCTTGTGGCATGTATTGCTTCCTATAAAAATGATTTATTGGAACACAATTTTGTTAGGCAAGAAGCATACGTGCAATTTTTTATACTACAATATCAATAAAATTAATATCAATTTTTAATCCTGTACTATTAATGACGATCCAACCGTCACAGGAAAAAAAAAATAAGTTGCTTCTGATAAAGCGCTACATTTATACATGCATATATTACATTTAATACATTTTATACATGCATATAATAATGCAACGATGATTCAGTATATACTATATATGTAAAAATCTTAAAGAGTGCACAACAAGTATGTATAAACCTAAGTACTAACGAGGAATTTAAAAAGTTAAAAAGTTATTTTCGAGTATTGGCGTGATATCTAATAATATTTTGATTGATCACCTCCTTTAGATCTTTAGGTTTAATCAGACCAGATAAAAAATTTTATAGTATCCGGTAATTATTGACATAGCCGAAGTGTGAAGGTAAGGCATTGGATCAAACAGCGTGATTGGATCAACAGCACATCAGCGTGCGTCCGCGTGATTCAGCGAAAAGAGACAGCCCAGCGTTTACCGTCGCTAGGTGCGTGAAGATTCAGCGTCACGCGTCATTTGTGCATAGCCATTGTTGTTTACAGAACACTCCTAATACCTCGTCGCGCGCCAAGCAACGGTAAACGCTGGACTGTCTCTTCTCGCCGAATCGTGCGGACACACGCTAATTCGCGGATCATTATTAATCTCGTTATTTATTGCAAAAATTGCAAAACGCTAAAGGTCTTTTCTCTTCAATTTAACCCAATTCACTTTCGCACTCGGCTGTGTCGATTACCGAACACCCTGTATAAAAAGCTTCTTCATTAACATAAAATATCAATAATATACATGTATATGAGATAATTCAAATACTGACAAATCGCTACTATATCGAAAGTTTCTATCAATGATTATTAATCTTGCAGTCGAGATCACGATCTTAGCATAAAACTGTAATGTAAAACTTGTGCTTAGTTTTAAGTTTTATCGTTATGGCTTTGGTTTAATAGGCGAGCTTAAATAATCCCGTGGAACGTAGCCTTGTTTACCGTCGCGATTCTCTACGAGCCACCATTCATCGTTTCCTTTCTCGTCATGAGGTCTGAGAAGTCGCAGGGCTTGGCCGTTAGTAATGGGCAACGTACCCTGCATGTTCCCAGCAAAATCGTACATCGCGTAGTAAAACTAAAAATTAAATCACATTAATAAAAAGATATTGGAGCGCAATATCGAAATATTAGGATACTAACTTCGCTGTGTACATTCTGATACACTCGAACTCTCGGCGTTTCGGGAACGTTGCCGTAATTGTGATTTACCTTCGTTTCTTGATTTAATGAGAGCAAATCTTGCAAATGCGACGAAGACACCTTCTTGATCTCTTTTTCTGGTGAATCCAACGACATCAAATTTGGAGGGCTGGAACTCTTTCTCCCGACAGCAGCGACATCCGACACAGTTGGATCGTTATTCGTGATCTGAGCTTGCCGCCGAACCGGTCTCAGTTTTTGAGAAGGCAAAAACCCTTGAGTGACTCCAGTGTCGACATACCATCTCGCCGTGTCTCCCATTGGGTCTTGTTTTTTTATAACTCCAATCAACGTACCTCTCGCAGCATCCACCTCCAGTGTAGATGTACTGACAACATCTTCAACCACCACATACAACTTTACCGCAGTGTATTTCTCTCTGAGTGAGGATCTCTGCTCTTCAGTTTGTTTACACAATTGCGATTGGCCCTCGTCTATTCGAGTATTCGCACCAGCAAATGCGAAACGCGTTATTTGATTCCATATTAAATTGTGATTCACGAGAAATGATTCCAGCACATCTTGCGACGATATATGCGGTGATGTCTGGAAAAAAAAATTATGTTTCGTACATTCACTCTCGAATTACATCACACTGAAAGTTTTCTATTAAAATGTTATTCAAATACTTCGCAAAGGGTCAAGTATTGCTTGGTAATTCTTCCGTTTAATAATTTTCGTGCGCCAGCAAAAGCATTTATGCACGTAACTAAAATGTTCGCTGCTGCGTCCAGCAATATAGGCAATTCCTCCAGTAATTGTTGATTCAGAGCTTCGTAATTACTTTTAGCAGTGAATAATTCTTCTTGTACCTAAGACAACGTAAGATAAATCAAGAAAAATCATGAAAGGAACAACATGCTTACAACAAAAAAAGTAACGTAACAATTACAATTTTTGATTCTCTAGATTTCTCACTCTTTGAAATAGCGGCGTCGTAATCCAGCAACTTATCGTGTCTCTTCGCTACCAACACCGCCGGTCCTTCTAGCAGCGTCGCCAGGAAATTTAATGGTGCGCTGACTGTCTTTTCGATGTACGACTTAAAATCCCGTATGTATTGTGACCAAATTACAGATCTTATATCCCGCAGCTTCTTCACCTCGGCAGTCGGATTTCCCTGATAATAATGAACCAGCAAATCGGCTATCGCTTCACCGGACATAGCTTCATCACTCAGATATGTCATACATTGTTCAATATCTTTCACTAATTGCCATGTACATTTCTCTATAGATCGAAATTGCTTCTCGAATTCCTCGAACTCGGTATCGCTCGCGACATTCGTCAATCCCAGACTCGCCGACAATTTCGTGCTTAATCTTGTTGACATTTTCGCCACAGAGTGCATACTTAATTTTGACATTTTGCTAAATAAGGTATTATCATTATCTAAATACTTCGATACGATATCTTTCCTCCGTTTGTACTCGTTGATGTAACTGGCCACATTTGTCATAGCCTCCCACGCCTCCATTATGGCTGCTTTATCTGGATGATTGTCTTCTGTACACTAAAAATTATTTTCCATGTAGGAAAATATTACAATGCGAATTGTAAAAACTTTGAATACACACATGCGTATAAATATTTATCTGAAAAGTAATCTAAATTCAATTTCGCAAATGTTGCTAAAGTTGATATATATATATAAATTTATTGGCACCTCATTAAAATATATATTTCAAAATTAGACTTCTATTGCCTTCGAAATAAATTATTCGTACAATTCTTTACATTTTATGTAATTAATGCAGTTGCTTACCTTTGTTAATTCATATAATATTAGTGGATACTTTAAAATTCTTTGCACCGGCTTGATCAGAATAGAGCTCATGTCAAAACAAGCAACCTGACGACGTAATGTCTCAATACCCTTATTAAATACTTTCATGATCTCTTCATTATTTTCATACTAAAATACAAACAGATAAGATTCGATTATATAACTTGAAATCATCATAAACTTGTTACATCACGATAAGATTTGTCAATTAAAAAATTCGGTCACATTATATACATACCTTTTTTAACAAAGCTAATGCAGCTTCGTGATTTCCGCAATATTTAACATAAACATTTTTCAATTTTTCGGCCATTTTCACGAAGCAAGGCCCAATTGTTTGCAAACTTTCATCGCAACCTTTCATAGCTCTCAAAATCATATCCAATAACTCCTCAGCAACGTGAATAACTTCCAAAATATTTCCAAATAACGTAGCGACATCAATCCCCTTCGATTCGAGGAAACTCGGATTGTGCAAATTAAATGTTTCGTATGTTAGCTTCAGATCGCGAACATATTCTTTTTCCGTTATAACCAATTCCGATATTACATTTTGCCGTTGATCCGCATGCTTCTGCTTCATATCTACAGTATTATTGATTGCACATTCGTTTTCGCACGTTCCTTTCGTGTGAGCAGATACTTCGCCGTTCGCAATAACAGTTTCCTTCTGTAATGGCACTCTGCCTGGAGCAGGAGCTGGTGGCGCTGGCCTGTGCGGTTGCGACATTCTCTTCGGATTTTGTTCCTCGCTTGCAACAGCGTTCGCTTCCTTATGCCTAATCATCACAAAATCTTCAAAGTCTTCCAAATTCGATTCCTGCAGACTGTCCAACGAATGTTCGGACACCGAGCTCAAGTATTCCCGTGGACACAAACCAACTAGACCACTCTGATTTTTCACTTTCACCCAATCTTCATTAGCCATTTCTAGCACGGTGACACTCTCGCCCTCGTGGACGTTTAAATCACCATCCATCTGTGCGTCAAAGGTATACAGCACTTTTACAGTAACTCCCGGTTCCAGAGCATCTTTTTTCGCAGAAATTACTTCAGATTGGACTTGTTGCTGCTTTGCTTCCGCACAATCGACTATGATATTGACGTAAGATGATGGAAAAATACCTTTAGTGGCATCGATCATACCCTCTATCCACTCGGAATCGATGTGTCTGGCGAGATGCACCACTTCGCCCGCTCCGAAGCTCAATTCGTTTGGAAACTGTGCATTAAATGGATATAACGTTATAGCATATGGTTTAATATCGACGGAATTCGCATGACTATTGTACTGTGTGTCTTCTGCATTATTGGTTACTGGCAACGTGTCTGGGAACAAGTCAAAGTAGTTTGGAGCAGGTTCGTCAGGCAAGTTTGCATAAGAATTTATAGAAGTTTCATCAAAATCTTTGTAAGTTGTGCCATTGTGAACCGTCGAGAAAGACGCGAGATTGCTCTCGGTTGTACATTCGGTTGTCATTTCTCTTTGATCAACTTGATCTTGATCTGCATCTACGTAAGATATAAATCCTTCGGGAAATATCCCTTCTCTACCATCTTCCGCAACGCCACGACACCAGCCGTCATCTAAAATTTCCGTGACAACGACCGTCTCTCCTGCAGTCAGGTCCAATTCTTCGTCAAGTTGTGCCTTCAGTGTCGTTTTTACTTTGGCTCTTTTTCTTATTGATTTATTTCTTATCGTTTTCTGTAAGAAGCATTTCCATTAGCAATTTTATTCACAGCTTATACGTAAATAAGATATAATCTTCTTTTAATATAATGTTCTACTTTTATCAATGTCGCGTCCAGTTCCCACGTATGTGTCATTGGAAAAATTCCATTTCTGGAGCTTATTCTGCCCACGCACCATCCCGAACCTATGTCCCTCGTTCCAATTATGAGTTCTCCTAACAGCGAGAAAATTTATGCTTCAATTATTATTTATTTCTGTGACGTTAAAACTTAAAAAAATCATTGTTACACCTACGATTTCATGTTCTTCAAAACAAGTTTGCGACACGACGGCATGTATCAGCAATAATCTTACCTTCTGCAAAAGACAGATCTCCACTTTCTTGTCCAGGGAAGCTAGCTGTAGAAACGAACAGTCTTTCCGTATCGCTAAAATGAGGTATTTCCACTTTATGCAGGTGACTTAAGGGAAACTTGCCGACTCTGTCTCGAGACTGGCCGTAGCACCAGTGTTTGTCCGCGATCTCGTGTATCTGAAACAAGGAGCAACAGGCCAGTCTGTTATATTCTCAGCTGTTTACACTTGACTGCTCGCTTATTAGGTTAGGCCGGTGGAGCGTCGGCGAGTACCAGGAAATAATGTCCCTTGGGAAGGCTCAGCTCTCCGTCGACGGTGGTGAGGAAGTCGTGCAGCACCCTCGCCAGCGTTCCCGGCTCCATTTCCGCTGCGACGCACTCGCATCCGTTGAACTCGCGATACTACGACCAGTGTGGAATGTCTCTGCGACTCGCGGAGCGGAGGCGAGGGCCGGAGGCGCCTGACAGCCGATACTGCTCCGATAAGTGGCTGTCACGTGGCACACGTTCCTGTGTGTGCGTGCCGTGCGTGGATCGAATTATATGTCGTGATCAAATTATGCGGCATTGCCGAGAGAAAAACTGTCCGCGTGTCGAATAAATGAATGAAGTGTCAATATTTTTCGCGATAAAAATACATTTTCTGCGACAACCGACGTAATCGACACCGTGCAATATCGAACGGGAAAGTTTCTGCCAGCGCTAAAGCAGTAAAGATTTTAATCATTCCCGATGGAATTTTTTAGCACTTGAAAATTTTAAACTGTATCTATAAATAGAATGGACGCAAAGTGTATTTTAGCGCTCATATTTATATAAAATTTAATATTTTACATATACAAAATCGATTGGAATTAATTTCACGAATTTTAGATAAATTTATATTTAATGATACATCAGTTTAAGATGATCGTATAATTTCTCAGAAGCATATCGTATAAGTTTACATATTTATTTTCTGAACAATTTATTTTGTAGTGTTGCAGGTCGCGCGTACCGAGTAGATACGTGTTGAATGTTGATATACACGCATTACACGCGTATATTCGTGGAATCAGCTGATCGGAGAGTGCTGTTCGCGCTAAGCATTCTCTGTAATCTCTGTAATCATTTCGCACAATTGAAACGACGTATATTTAGTGTGCACGTGTGTTAGCGTTATACACAACGAATAGGTCTTACGAGCAAGATTGCATAATGCGAAAAAGTCGTACCGGGCACTGATCGACGTACTTTCGCCAGTGACGAGGTTAGAACGGCCAACATAACCTCGCACAAGTGTGGAGCAACTTCTACGGAGAATAATAAAGAATGATAAAATAATGAGCGGCAGGGTGATTTCCCATTATTTATAATCTAAACGTATGTTAATTGTTAATTGTTTCTCTTATAATTATTATGTTTTCGTGCGGACAAAAATTAAGAGAAACATCAAAGCATGTCAAGAAGATTAAATGATCTTACATAATAAAACTATAATGCTAGGATGTTTAATAGCGCTATTAAAATACTTTGTACAATTTATATAGATAGCGATCGTTACATTAAGTGTCGAGACTGACGATATTTTTGCAAAATGCATTGCGTACGTAGGATCCTAAATACCGCCCAGCGAAATCTGCGAGTGTGTAACAACGCTGATACAGTCTACAGGAGCTCGGGAATACAAAATGTTGTTCGTCGTTCGAATCACGATTCCGAGGAGTACGTATCCACGGAGGATGAGAAGGAGCAGCAGACCTATGTCCAGATCGCCAATCGTTACTTAGGCGTCGCGCTCGACGGACACAGGACATTTGTTTTGCAGCCGTATATAAAATGGGGCAGGGACAAGAAGAGGAACACCTCGCCAGAACTGCAAATGGCCGAGGCTGTGGCGCTAATAAGGACCTTACCCAACTGGTGCGTGGTCGGGACGAAGTATGCCCCGTTACTCACTTTACAGAGGAAGCAGTTGCTGGGTAGCGGCTCGCTGAACGATCTGAAGAACGAGTTAAGCAAATGCCACCCCACCGCCGTGTTCGTCAGCACCAATCTGCTGAAATTCGTCCAAATCACCGAGCTGGAGAAGATCTTCGGCATACCGGTCTACGACCGTTACTCCATAGTCATCCACATATTCCGCGCGCACGCGAAGACCGCGGAGGCAAAATTGCAGGTAGCCCTAGCGGAGTTACCGTACATCCGAAAGAAGATATTCGAAACGTGCGTTACTCATAGCGGCGCGATTAACGTGACGGAAGACACCAAACTGTTGCTCGACGGCAAAGAGAAGAGACTGAAGAACGAACTGAAGAAGCTGCAGCAGCATCGACGAATTATCAGGAGCCAGCGTAAGAAGCACGGCTTTCCCACGGTCGCTGTGGTCGGTTACACGAACGCAGGGAAAACCTGCTTGATAAAAGCGCTCACGGACGACAGTTCTTTACAACCTAGGGATGAATTATTTGCAACCCTTGATACGACCACGCATCAAGGCATTTTGCCCAACAGATTAAAAATCTTGTACATAGATACTATTGGATTCATTCAAGACGTGCCGGAAACTCTGATTGAACCGTTTGTTGTGACTCTAGAAGATGCCATAATCGCTGTACGTTGACTTCGTACTGTCCCCCCTCCTTTCTCTCTCGCTGTTATTTTTTTTTTATGAAGAAATTTCTCTACTTAAGAATTCTCTTTTTCCTACAGGATGTCGTAGTTCATATATATGATGTCAGTCATCCTGATTTGAAGGCGCAATATCAGCACGTCCAGAAAACGATAAAACCAATGTTGGACGATCGTCCAATAATTGACGTGGCCAATAAATGCGATCTTGTTCAAAGCGACTGCATACCCAAGGATGCGATTGCCGTCTCCGCTAAGACTCTGATTGGTGCGATCAGTATTCATTGTTACCATTAATAAATCGAATGAATGCAATATGAGCGCGACAATTTTAAAACGGTTTAAACATTTACAGGAATCGATTTGTTGCGCTTGAAGATACAGGAGGTCCTTTTAGCCACCACGGGACTGTTGAGCATACGCGCGAGGGTAAAATCGGGCAGTGCTGCGGCCGCCTGGTTGTACAAGATGACGACAGTGACAAACGCTCAAGCAGATCCGGACGATGCTCAGTATTTAATTCTGGAAGTTCTTATTACTTCGGTTGAGATTCAGAAGTTCAAAAATTTTTTAAAACAATAAAAAGTTTATTGAAGTTTATACAAAGTTCATACAAAGCTTTACTTTTTTGCAATACTCCCTTCTTTTTATGTAATAGAAAGAGTTCAGGGTACTTTCTCCGTGGGGATCTAAAATAATTTGGCACATTGAGGTATTCTTTCTTTTTCAATTAGTCTTATCTACTTTATGATTAAAAAAGATTATTTATCGCCGTCACTACATATTTAAGTAGCAGTTAATAACAATTTTATACGTAGAAATTTTCTCCAAAAAAGATACTTGAAATTTATTGTGCCAGATATGTATATCAAAGATCTTTGATGCTAAATTGCATGATTCATGAGCTGACTTGCAGTTACGTATGTGGCAGAAAGATATAACAAACACATATGTCGTCATTGTTATCTAGATCCTGCGTATCAATTTAAATATAAATATCTGAATCACTAAGAATGTTTTTTTATTCAAATGAATCACGCGTGCTCATACATAGAGAAACGCACTTGAAAATCTTTAGGAATATCCTTGGGCGCGGCACACTGCCAAGAAGTCATTTCTTTTTACAGCCCGGGGTGTACACGTGCTCAGCACGTGTCCCTTCGCAATCGGCAGATGACACGACTTAAAACTTCAACCAAGACATACTCGTTAGGGCTATTAACGAGATTAAAAACTTTATTACGGCGCTTAGGCGCACAGGCGAAGCGAGTATACAATTTGTAAAGTTTACTCTGTAAATAGAATTTCGTACTTAAAACGAAACTTATCGTTTGCGCTTTGAACTCTGTAATGTCGCTATATTGGTATCCATGTTGTCGTTGATTATAGAACAGAGATCTATCGCAACGTTCTCGATAAGCTCTTGCCAAAACACATGGAAAAATATTGGAGATAAATTTAACATTCTCGAGATAGGAATTGGTTGTTTTTTCTTGTAAAATATGAAGAAAGATTATTCAATATAATTCTCAGAAATTTTGGAATCTGAATAAGATCATAATTCTATAACTATTTTAAGTTTAAGTTCTATTAAGTTCTATTTTTATGCTTTTCAAGAGATAATCCCGCAAAAGTGCATTTTGTCAGAGAGATTTCCATAAATTTTCACATTTCTAGGGCTACTGTAATCGATACCGTCGTGTAAATATTAACATCCCTCTACCAGAAAAGATTGAAACAGTTTCAACGAATTGTAAATTTTTAAACTTTTTATTAATACTTCTATTTTTTTTTTTATATAAAAGTTTAATGCGTTCGTCATATGGCTTCGTGCTTCTCGAGGAAAATACGATGCTATTTCAACGTTGCGGACATGTATCTGACGAGAGAAGCATTGAAATAGGAAGAAGGATCTCCGAGGAAGGAAAGGGGCTCCTCGGGCTTTCACGCGGAGATGCGCATGGCCTGAAATTTGGCAAACGATCGATCCCGCGTCTGGATCGTTGCCCGAACGGGAAAGATCGCCGCTCGCCGTTTAGCTATCGTCGCCGTTTTATTAAGAGTTCTCCGTTTGTTTGCTTTTTCTCACCGCGCTCGCGCGCGCCGGCGATCATCCACCGCGAGAGAAACTTCACGACGAGGGTTGCCGTCACGGCGCGATGTATAATTCATAGAACTCGATGGGCTCTGCGCCGTCCAAAGGGTGCCTCGGTAATTTTATACGGCGATAGCGGACGGAGATATATTTTTTTTTCGCACAATGACGCACTCTTTATCTAAACGAGGAGTTTAATCTGTTCGTCGTAATCTCGAGAGGCCACTCCAACTTCTATCTCTCTTATCGCCCCGAAACTGCGATAGCTTACGCCAACTGTGTGAGTGCCATGCGATTTCACCGTCGTAAAATCCAGTCGAGGGAACGCGAAACGAAACGCGAATCGGAAAGGGGGTGATCGCCAACGAGCCGCGACAGCTACGTTCTATGCGGGCGACTCTCGACCGTAAAAACTCTCTCCAGTACGCACTAACCCGAGCAAACGCGTCATTAATATCCGGTGACGGCGGGACACCCTGTGTGTAGCCTTATAAAGTGCCCCGGCAGAATTAATCGCGCCGTGCGGAGGAAGAGTCTCCGGACTCTCCGCCGAGTCTCCGCGCGCCGCGCGTCGTCCTTTGGCCGCGGGAAGCGGGAATTAATGAAGGATTGATATCGCGATTATGTTGTAGCAATAGCGCAGAAGTGGGGTACGGCGGTGGGGCACCGTGTGGGCCGATCGGCAGCGGCGGCGGCGGCAGCGCGGATCGTGGCGATAATTAATTGCAGGCGTGACGGCGCTTTAACGTCGTTAATTTTCATTATCTCGATCGGAATCCGCTTGTATAGCGGCGGAGCGCCCGCGCCGCGCCGCGCTTCGCCAGCTCGCTAATTTCGCGCGCATGCTCGCTCGCCCGCTCGCTCGCTCGTCTCTCGTGACCCCGCTTTCAGGAAACGCGTTAACAATTCTTGGGGGTGAGCTCCGCCGGGGATGGGAGGAGCGAGAGGACGGAGGGTGGCGGTGGTGGCACGGGGTTCTTGCAAAATTTGTCACACGCCCGCGGCTAACGGTGACGCTTTAATGTTACGACCGCTTCTGCGGCCGGGATTCGCGGCGCGCGAGGACGCGCGCGATGCACTTTGCGTGCTGTTTGGATTATTAAAGCGCGCCGAGTAAAACCTAATTATCGTGGTGGCCGACCGAACGACAGATCTCCACCGTTGCCCGGCCGGCCCAGCGTGTATATTGAAGCGATATAATCGTCGACAAAGACCGCTATGCAGTGTATTGCAGATTCAGGTTGTCACGCACGTTCCGTCTGACGTGCTCGTCCGCGCAGCTTTTCGCTTATCAAGCAAAAAAAGCTGCGTTCTTTATCCAGGACGTGAAAATGAGCGAATAGTCTTCAATTCTTCAACAATCGCGTATCTTTGCGAGCTGGATGTGACTATAAGAGCCTCTCTAATCAGAGTCTGGCCAACTTGCAGTTCCGGCAAAATTCTGCGAGAGAGAAGGATATAAAGAGAGAAAGAGAAAGCGATATACCACGATATATATTCATATCGCTTTCTCTTTCTTACTTATATCTCTTTCTCTTTCTGTTCTCTTGCTTTTGCCAAGAAATGGCGAACCAATTAAAAGTTTCTAACTGTATGGCCAGACTCTGATTAGAGGGACTCTAGATGTGACAACCCAAACGTATGTCCCAAATCGGGACATATGACGTCTTATCTTGTGTGCCGATTTGGGACATTTGTGTCCATTGGGAAGTTTTCCATTCTCAGATCAATTTAAGAAAAATGAAGGACGAATAACAGTTTCTCTCCTTATCTTTTATTGAATCCCCTGGAAAAGTAGCAACGATAAATAAGGAGATTTTTTAATACGATGGTCCATTAAATCGTCGCTACCGACCAGCCCAGACCCGACCCGTATTTATTTAAACACGTTTAAAACACGAAGCTGCGGCTTGACCGGAGCCTATCGGTGCCTGTCCCGCCCTCCCCCGTCCCGGCAATTAAATGAACGATTGGCTAACGAACGTTGATCGCCTCGCCGAATGTGCGACTCGTGTAACGTAATGACCGGCGTGCTGATTTGCTCGCCGTGTTACGGATTCAATTACGGGCGGCCTGCCCTGGTATTTTGCACGGCGCGGCACGCCCGAACGTTCCGAGATCAACAGCGGAAATTAAATTAAATCTAACGCCGCATATACGCTACGGCTACGCGCGCATAAATAACGAAAGTGACACCGCCATCGGCTCGGCACCTAACGAACATAATCCGATACTTGTTGTTTCAAGCGCCGTTCGGCCGCTCTCGCGAGGGCTGCGGAGGCTGCCTACTAAATGAAGCTCAGATCAAACAAGGGCTAGCGCTAATTGACTTTAACCGATCGGTTAGCGCCGATCACTTTTAATTCTATACCGTCCAATGTAACTTTCAAGTCACATATTCGTTCGTTTTGCTCATGTGTTCCTGCTCTCGTTTGTCACTAGCGGAAATTCTATAGGCTTTCTAGGCTTCGTATTTTTCCGAGTACATAGATTTGTTGTTTATTTTATTTGAATTTATACAAATTCGTTTGCTATATGATATATATTGAAGATTTCTTCAAAGACGAAAGATTGTATTTGCATGCAGATTTAACGTCTAAAAATCAAATCTGTTGAAACTACAACTTTTTGAGCTGCTTGAAAACCGATTTGTCTGTTAAAGCCGGTTCTACAATCAGTCATATGTCGGAACGTAGCCGATGGTCCAATGAGGAAAATTCGTTTTTAAAAAAGAAATTCTCTCATTGGACCATCGGCTGCGATCTGACATACGACTGATTGTAGACCCGGTCTAATACGCGAGGTATTCCACGGAAGAATACAGGAAGCGCGTTTGAGAGTTTCTCATATATACATATAGTATTCTCACATCCAACCGTCATAGTGTCATCGTGTCTAGGAAGTGTCTGAGGATCTGAAAGACACGAAAATTAGGTTCAACGGTGTTTGACTTTTGCAAGTGCAAGTTTCTCCCACGTTTAATCGCTCAAAAGGAGGCACGGGCATGCCCAAGGTGTGAAGTCGGCGACGCAAGGTGGGGCCCGTTTTGCGGCCGACATTCGCAGATTGGTTAGTAACTCTCGAGTTTGAGCGGCTGACTTCAAAGGGACGCGAAAAAAAATTCGCGCGCGACCGACCGACCCCGCGTATAAAGGAATACCTTCGCGAAACGATCAACGCGATTCCCTTCCCGTGAATTATCTCTCTCCTTCCCTCCGTTTCCCGTCTGCCTCCTTCGCGTATCTTATACTCTCGCGCGGGAGGTCGAACGTCGTGCAATACGCGCATTTGCGTACGCGCCCCATCTCCCCCCTCCTCCCGCCCTGCTTCATTCACGTTCTCGTCATTGCGACTTAACGCGTGTCGTCTCGCGCGTGCAGTCATTTATCGCCGAGAGTTTATACCGGGTGTCCCGTCACTCCCGCATCAATTTTTCATGATTTTAGAAGGAGAATTTCTGGGTGCGATGTCTCGGAATTTGGTATAGCTGCTGAACTTAGAATGAGATGCTCTA